ATGGGGCTCCAACCAGGCCGGCACCAGCGATATCACCACCCGCCTCATCTTTATCTCGTCGGAGATATTGCAGTCGTCGATCGCACAATGCCGGCAAAATCCATCATCGACCTTTTCTACTGTAGTATTTTTTTCTTCCATCTATCGTTGGCCCTTTTTTTCTTCCCTGACCTAAGCATTAGGGGAAGTTTTGTTTCCAGCCGCTCTTTCTTCTGCTGCTTTCTTTGTCAGCAGAATTTACAGTGTGTATATACATGCTTTTTTTCTGCAGCCAATGACAACCGCGGTCAACAAAAAATCAGTTTTCCTGTAGGTTGTCTCTTTCCTTGCAAAACTCAAAATTTAGCGAAGTCTGAATCAATATAATAAATTAAGCTAAGTCTGAATCTCTCTTCTATGCCGAAACATATGACAAATAAAACTCAAATTCAGTCAAGTCTGAATCTAACAAATTCAAACAAGCATGAATCTTTCTTCTACTACGAAACATATGACAGACAAAACTTAAAATTCAGTTAAGCTTGAATCTAGCAAATTCGATAATCCAAATGACTAATTTAAGGAGATATTTTATTAATATAAGGAGATATTTCCTTTCCTATTTTATATTTATTTTCTTAGATTATGTATTATTTATTTTCCTATTTTATGTTATTTCCTATATCTCCATCTTATTTCCTATATCTCCTAATAATTAATATGAATTAATTATTGAAGATATAATTTGAAATATATTTCCTTTCATATCATTTCTTTTTTTATTATTTTTCCCATTATTGGATTCTTGTAAGAGTTATTTATACCCTCGTTCATATCAACAAAATAATGAAGTATTCCACATTATTCTGAAATTTCAACAAATGTATACTTGTATTATAATTAAATTGATGGGAGATACTAATAAAAAAATCTTTTTGAAAATTATTTGTCCTTACAAAACACATTAACATGAAGAAATATAAAAATAATCATTCTTCAAATTAAAGACACTTTTGGTCTCCAAATGTCATTGAATGCATATGAAACCTGTTACTAATATGTTATTCTTGCTTAGATAGTGAGAAAATGAAAATATTACATGTAGACGAATGGTCTAGATCGTTGACACCGCATGTTCGACGGTGTGACACGATTCACGTTGTCATCCGGATTTAATATTTTCTTGTGGCTCAACTCTTAGATAATCTGAAAAAACAAAAAAATGGAGTTGGTGTAGCTAAGCAGGTAGCAAAGAAAAAAATGGATCAACTTTCTACAGATGGATGGATGGGGGATGGGGGATGTTATGTAGTAAATAAATGTGTTAATTTTATTTTATTTATATTTTTATTTTAGAAAACATAACATTGATATACTATAATATATTTAGTTATTTTTTTAAAAAAATTTAAATAAATTTTTTAATATTTTTTTACCATTTAAAATAGATTATTTTATTGTTGAAAATAAATATAAAAAATATAAACAATATTTCCAGACGGCATTTAGATCCGGTAGTATTTAATTTAAAGCGCTTGATCTGCCAGCCAGCTACAGGTTTGAAAGGACCAATTTATGCGTTTGAAGAGGCTATGGGAGTCCAAAATCATTGACGGGAATGGGGGGCATAGGCCTCGAGACAAAATATAATAAAAATAAAAATAAATAATAAATAATGAAAATTAATAATATTTAATGTTCAAAATCATGCCATTTGATCATTAATGCGTGGCCATGGAGAAATATTTTAGCATTTTAGTATTGGACGAAGATCAAAACATATACACATTTGAAACAGAAAAAAGTCACAGGAACTGACTCAGTTGGAATATCCATAATTTTAAGTACATAGATCCACTCTTCTCCTGAATAAGAGAAGATGAAGTTACAGATGTTATGTACAATGATACTTCATCAATAATAGTTGTCATGCGCTGAAAAGGCCGTAGTTAATTTCTATGAAGGTAGCGTCCGATCCATCATGAATGTTGTAGATGGTGATTATAGTGTCGACTTGTTGTAGAGGCCGTAGTTGAAAGTTGTGGTAGTAGTTGGCTAGGTATGGCGTAGATGGTTGCGTCAGAAGCATTGATTTTTCACAATGGGTCGTAGTAAAGAGTTGTAGGAGTTTTGAGCCACATAAGTTGTAGATGCTTGCTTTAGGAGCGTCAATTCGTTACAAGGGTCATCGTAGGGAGCTATAAGAGTAGTGAGCTACGTAGGCCGTTGTTGGTCACATAAGTTATAACGATGAGCTTTGATAACGTCCATAAGCCATAGAGGTCAGCTTTAGGAGTTGTGATGAGCTATAAGCCATAGTGGTGAGCTGCAATATGTAGGTCGTATATTGAAAAATTGGGAACCACACAAGCTATGATAAAGTTAGTAGGCCATAGAGTCCGGAGTAAAAAGCTGCAAGAATGTCTGTAGGCTTCAGAGACCCGAATTTGGAGTCGTATGAACTGTGATAATATCTGTATGCCGTAGAGGATGGAGTTGGGAACCGCATAAGCTGTAAGTCATGTGACCTTAATTGATCACATATGTCACTTTGGTGAGCTACAATAACGTCTGTAGACCACAGAGGTTGAAGTTAGGAGTTGCATGAGTTGTTGACCACGTAGACCATAGTTGGTCAAATATGTCGTAGTGGTGAGATGTGAGGATAAAACTTATAGCAGCAGTTGCAGGGGATTTAAATCTTCTAGCCGCAGTATCAAATTCATAGTTGGTCAAATATGTCATAGTGGTGAGATGTGAGGATAAAACTTATAGCAGCCAGGGGATTTAAATCTTCTAGCCGCAGTATCAAATTCTTGTATTTTTATGCATATATAAAGTCGCTGTCAACCTTTCAAAAGGGGAATCTTCTTTCATACTTGAGCAACCTTTTATTTTCATTGTTGATAACTTAGGATTCTTGTGTAGGACATTAATTAAACCAAAATTTTAGTCTTATGCTGAAAATAGTAGGCTAGAGTTTTTCCTTCTTTGAGTTTTCCTCGTTTCCTGTGGGATTGACAATAGGATTCAAACCCAATACTATTAATATGCCAAATATACTTGCATGAGCAGTCCATGTTTCGTAACACTTGATGCGTGTCATTGTATCCCTTATTAATTTGTTATATCATTTTAACACTTTCTTTTTGGTATCTAATTCATGCCTCTTATAAGAAGAATTGTTTTATTGGAGGATCGGATTCCAACTCTTTACTTCTAATCTCTATCATAATGTTTTATTGGAGGACCGGATTCCAACTCTTTACTTCTAATCTCTATCATAATGAGACTCGCTATTGAATGACATGACATCCATTTCCATTTGGCATTTGATTCTTGTTCTTGAGAGTTGTCAAATGACCATCACCCGTTCTTACTGTAAAAATCAACATTTTCAAACTTCATCAAAATCTCAAGAAACTATTCTCGCATCACAAATCCTTACATTAAAGTGTAAGCTAGTCTTCTCTAATTAGACATGGACAAAATTTTGAGATTCTTAACGTTGTCGAATAAAATAATTTGAACCGTGATATTTTTTTTTTTACAACATAAAATAAATTTAAATGAACACCCCCTAATTCTTATGCAATTTTCTATTTAACATATGATATTTGATATTTATATAACAACCAAAATTTCAATATCTCATGCAATTAGCACTAATATTAAAAATTTTGAAGTAAAGTGCACATTTTTTCGAATATTTTAAAATGTTAAAGTTTATGGTCAGATATGTAGGTACATAATAATTGTATTTTATGTATGTAAATCCCCCCAAACAAAAGTATTTTTTGAGTGTTCTTTGCAGTTTTTCTAATTTTATGAATAATATTTATACAAGACTAATATTTTGAATATCTCTACTGCCTAACATACAACAAATATAAGTTTGTTGGAAAGAAAAATAATTTTAAGAAAATGAATAGAAATAATGTAAGAGGATTCTCATAAAATCAATATCTTATATTGCAATAAATAAAATAAATTAAAATTCAGATCTAGAAACTTGGCCACCCCCTTAAGAAAAAGAGAAATTAATAGTGATGATGATTTATATAATTATTAGTTTAGATTAACAATATTATTTTGTTACGAGTAAGGAAGGGACTTTGCTTTAAAACAAGAGAGTTTAAAAATAAGAAAAACTGTAAGGCTGCACGAGAGAGTTATGCTCCATCATGCTAATGCAACATCGCAGAGGAGTCTCACTAACTATATGTCCACACGATGTAAAGTTGATAGTCTTAAGTTAAGAGTGAATGCACAAAATAAGTTCTCTTAATGAGAATGAAGACTCGACAATGAGTACTATGGATGGGTAGCAAATTAGTATGTACAAATATTTTAGAGTCTTTTGAGATATTAGTTGATGAATATTTAGAATTTAAGATTATTCTAATTGAAGTGTAATCTAAATTCAACACAATTAAATTTTAAGAAATTACTTTTTTAATGATAGTTGTAGCTAAATTTGGGCGGTATTGATATGATCAATGATGTATGCAATAAGTAAGACAAATAAAGCCTGATTGGGTATACATGGATGAGAGTAGCAAACTATGATGAAGAAGCGGCCCCTCAAGGGTTCGCTAAAGAAGGCATCAATAAGATCAAAGATATGTGTGGGAAGAGAAGATGATGATGGAGGACAAGGATGCGACGGGAGAGTTCATTGGTAAGGAGTTACATGATTCACAATGTGTGAAGGAGTAGAGGACATGATAATGGGATCTTGTTGAGGGATGCATCGATGAAATCAACAAAGTGTTAATAATGAGAGAATGTCACATGATTTTACTTAGAGAGACGTTGATGATGACAACAATATGGAAGTAGAAGAGGATGCAATGAAAACTCATCATAAAGAAGAAGAGGAGGCCGAGCCGAGCCTGGGTGCATCTCAAAATCACCCAATTTGAGAGATTTAAAAATACATTTATAATTTTATCAAAATTCTTTTTTTTAGTTGCTCCAAATCTGTCGTATTAGTCTACCCCTTCCACCTGATCCTCTTTAAAATGCTCGGGCATCTCAGTTCAGCAATTCACAACCCTGCAACAATTCCCTGCGCCAAATGGCTTCCTTCGTTTTCCACCTACTCCTCCTCCTCCTCCTCCTCCCACCCTTCCTCACCCTCTCCTTCGACTTCGATGAAGCCACCATCCTGGACATCCAGTCCGCCTTCAACGACGGCAATCTCACCTCCCTGCAGCTCGTCCAACACTACTTAGATCAAATCAATGTCTTTAACCCGCAACTACGCGCCGTCTTAGAAGTTAACCCGGATGCTCTCGCCGCCGCAACTCTCGCCGACGAGCAACGCAAAAACGCCAACTTTCTCGGCCCTCTTCACGGCATCCCCGTCCTCCTCAAAGACAGCATTGCTACTCGCGACCGCCTCAACACCACCGCCTGCTCCTTCGCTCTCCTAGGCTCCGTAGTCCCCCGCGACGCTGGTGTCGTCGACCGCCTCCGCCGCGGCGGCGCTATCATCCTCGGCAAAGCTACTATGAGCGAGTGGGCTAATTCCCGGTCATTTAACTGCCCAAACGGGTGGTGTGCGCGAAGCGGGCAGGCGCAGAACCCATACACACCGACCGAAGGTCCGTGCGGCTCGAGCAGCGGGCCGGCGATCGCCGTAGCGGCTAATTTGGCGGCAGTTTCGATTGGTACGGAGACTGTTGGGTCGATCTTGTGCCCGGCGGCGAAGAACTCGGTTGTGGGGATTAAGCCTAGCGTTGGGCTTACGAGCAGGGCGGGGGTTGTGCCAATTTCACCGTTACTGGACACGGTGGGGCCGATGGGGAGAACGGTGACCGATGCGGTGATGTTGTTGGATGCCATTGTGGGGTTTGATCCGCTGGACGCTGCGGCGACTTCGGCGGCTGCGCAGTTCATACCGAGTGGTGGATTCCGGCGATTCTTGAACGTGGATGGGTTGAAGGGGAAGAGAGTGGGGATTTTTGCCACTTATTTTAATTTCGCTGAAGGGTCCGTGGAATCCTCTGCATTTGCTGCGCATTTTGAAGCCATGAGGTTAGTTATTCAACAAAACAACTTATTTTTTTCTTTCTGTTTTTATTTCCTCAGTTTTTGGGATTTATATTTTATTTATTGCTTAAAATATTAGAGTTTACATGGTTGTCATTTCAATTTTGTTTTTTTTTTTATATATAGCATTGAAAATATTAAAATAAAATAAAAAATAATGCCTACAATGATGTCTCTGTGAATGTAATTCTTGGCTTTGATCTCATCGTCGTTTTGTCTTATTTTAATTGACCTCTTTCTAATCAAAATTAGCCATTTTCAGCAAGTATTTGATTTTAGTTTGTCTATCCAGAAAAAAATATTTTGTCCGGACGTCTGCACATTCGGACGACCAACCACCGACGATCACGTCGCTTGCCAATGACGTGTTTAAAGACATAGCCGATGATAATTGACACTTTATATCTTCTGTATACTATGACTATACTATATATACACGTTCATCCGCACATGCGGATGACTGCATATAATATTTTTTCTTCATTCTAACAACATTGGTCATAAATTATGTTAGTTAGGACTATAACTAGTTATTTAGTTATGTCTTCCAATCCAAATGTAATTGTCAGCTTATGAATGAAATCCATTACTTACATGCTTATTTTTATGACCACAACCAAAAAAATATATGAAATCATTTTTGCTAATTTCTTTCACATTCATACATTCAATTCCAACTGCATTTATTCCATCAGTTTGCATGGCTTACATAGATAAATTTTGCAGGCAAAAAGGAGCAACAGTAGTAGAAAATCTTAGACTGCCGAATGTGAAATTCATGCTGCAGGAGTTAGAAGATGGACAGGCGACGCAGCTCTTAGCTTCTTTCAAGGTCTCCATAAATGCTTATCTCGCAAATCTCGTATACTCCCCCGTCAGATCACTTCGAGATATTATTGACTTCAACAACAACCACACAATTCAGGTGATAAACATTAACAACTTAAATATTCATAATCATAATTAACATTATAAAATGCATCATATTAGGGGTGTAAATGAGTCAAGTTTGAGCGAGCCAGAGCTCGGCTCATTTTCGACTCATTAAAAAAATATTGTTGTATTTTTTGATATCTCTAGTCACGTAGATGGTAGATGTTAAGGATAGGGGTAAAATTTAAATTTTATTATTTATATTAAAATATTCATTTAAATAGAATTTAATATATTATTATTTAATTTTTTTATTTAATAATTTTAATTGATAAATTTTTTTTTGCAGTGTTATAGTTAATTAAACTATTTAAAAATAATCATTTGTGTACGCGATGGATCTTCGCGCAACACTAAGATGCCAAATTATTGCTTGAACGCCGCAAATTTTTTAACACGCATCAAGTATATTCTTGTAGTCAGTGATAGAACCTGTTGGTAGTTTTGTCCCTTAAATTTTAACCAAACTCCTTTATCTTATCCCGTAAATTTAAATACTTAATAATAATTTATTATTAATTATATTTATACTAGTTTAAAAAATAAGAAGATAAAAGTCTTTAATTTAAATACCGGTGGTCCCATCATTTTTAATTTTGTCACAAATTATTATTACTTTATGAATCCGGCACCCCATTTAACCTAAACAATTCTATTAAAAAAGATTTGCATTTGATGTCATCACATTGACTTATAATTTGTGTTTCATTAATATAAATTTCTATAATTAATAAGCTATAATGAAAATAAGCTTCACATGTATGATCTTTGAAGGGGTTCGTAGAAAACTCTCTCTAACTAAATAATTACATTTGAAGCGTGTTGTAGTTATTAATTTTAAAATTAGTTGCAATTCAAATTTAACTTTTCTAAAAAAAAATCATGTACAAATAATTTGTTGGTAAATTTCTTCAATCTGAAAACACACCCAATGTATAGAGGCTTTTATTGAAGAGAGAGTGTACAACATAGAACAGTAAAAGAGAGTGTCATCTTTCTATTCATGATATGAAACATTTATTTATAAGCATATGTCATAGCATTACAAAAGTAAACATTAGTCCTCTCGTCATTAATTTCTCAGATGGACTTTTTGGTAATTTACAGAGATATTTTGCATATAATAAAATTAGAAGACTGATTCGATGGACAGGAAGTTTATCGACCACCTATTGAGTCTTTGCTCCGTCGACATCTACTCCAAGAGGATACACCTTGTTGATTGTCCTAATGCCCAATCACTGCCTTATGATAGATCTCCTTACACACTTTACCGATCACTCGAACAAGACGCTCCCTTCACCATCATCCAAATAAGATGGGCGTCAACGAGCTACATCCGACCGGCCATATCTTCCGCCTTGAGTTTAGTTCTGGCATATTTCTCGTATACAGAATTACTCCTAAACAAAGATTGCAAGTCTCGTTTTTTCATACATGAAAAGCAATCTACAAATATTAAAAAATAAAAAAGATAAGATGGTGACTCCAAAAAATCTAAACTTGACAAATTAATAATAATAATAATAATAATAATAATAATAATAATTAGGACATAATAGATAATCATAGTTGTTACGAAAGCGTGTACTAAAACTCATGAAATACGGGTACAGCTCTATCCAAGAATGGTGTTTTGTCCCAGAATAGTGAGGAATAATGGAAACCTTTCGCTGCTCTTCATTAGCGCGTAAACGCATTAACTTAACCTTTTTCGTTAATTATTTTTTAGTGCTTTTAAACTAATTAAAAAGCATAAGAGCTTTATTCTAAAATGCTTTTTTTTTTTTTAATATTTTAAATAATTCTATAAAACGTGATATGAACATAAGTTTAATGAATGTGAAATGAATTCTTATCATTATGAAATTAATTTAATTGCTCATGCAATGCTATAAATTGCTAGTACAAAGTTGAGAGAATTAAATGTTATGTAAGAAAATAAATTTTAAAAATATAAAAACAATGTATAGAATGGTGAAATAAAATAAAATTGGATGGATCTAAAATTGCCAACATGTAAGTCAAAATCTACAATAGGCTTGAGTACACATCCTGCCCACATCCTCCCCACACCCCTTATTTATAGCTTGGAGATTAGGATTTGAGTGCTCTAGAAAAACTTATACATCAAGTTACATAAATGAGAAAAAGTTTCATATATGACCTTGTAGTCATTTACTTTAAAAAAACATAAGGAGGTGGCTTGATTTCACTATAATTGAGTATTCACACTTATAAATGTTTTATTGAGAAGAAAAAGCTGATAATGCTTATTTGACTAAGGATCTATTTGAGACAGTTACAACTTATTAAGAAGCAGTTGTGAAACTGCTGAAAAATAATCTGATGTTTTAAAAAGCTTCGGTGGCTATTACAATTTTTTTTTTGAAAAAATAAGTCGCAACTAGAAAGCAACCACCGCACCTAGCTAGGACTGGTGAGAAAACATTAATTTTAGCGGGAGTTTTTTGAAAAAAACTACCAAAATTTTGTTTATCTGAACTAGCAAATCTGCAGTGAAGTACCGCATAGCCAACACACGGCTACCCCAATTGGTCCCTGAGAAGTAACATTGGTTTATTCAATAGAAGTCACTCACTTGATGAAGTTCCCAAAGAGAGATTAACTTAAAAAAGCCATCAATTCACTTCAAATCGGTTTATTTCTTCTTCATGGAATACATTCTTCCTCATGTGAATCAGAGCACTGCACATACAGTATAAACAATTAGGGAGACCATACAAATATAAGTTTACTCACAAGATGATTTCGTCCCTCGTGTTTGATTATCAGTACGTGCAGTTGTCTGCATATAATATTTTTTTCTTCAGATGCCAATTAGAGCCATTTACCAAAGAGAAATCATATTTAAAATACTCAACTTTGATTGAGCAATTGTAATAAACAATTTTATGAAAGCAATTGTAATAAACATATTTATGAAAAAGTTAAAGTTGGTAAATATATGAATGCATATAGAGTTACTTAGAAAAAAGATAGTGTCCTTCAAAACTTCTATCGTGGGATGTGAATTAGCTAAAATTGAAATAAAAAAATTGTTTTGTCTTTGTATAGAAGACAAATACAAAATGTGAAGCTAAATAAGGAATGCTTATTGAATAAGGACACCGCACTCAAATTTGTGTGCGGTGTTCGATCAGGATCACTGAAATATATATTTTTGTTTTTTTTTTTGTTAGAGTGGAGCTCACTCTAAAATTTTTGACAGCCCTGATTGGACATCGCAAGCTAAATTTTACATGTGGTGTTCGCACGCAATAATTTTTCCTAAATAAGACATCCGAGAATGTGAGTTTGCGTCGGTTCAAGGAAATCTACAAATCTAAAGGTTCAATTTATAAACATTCCTACCTGATTATCCTAAAAAGATGCAAATTAACCAATACAAATTACTTAGAAAAAACTTTTGATATACATGAATTCATTGTTAGTTTATTCCCCATTACGGTAAAATTAATTAATTTTTATAAAATCATCCAAATACTTATTAATATTCAAATACTTCCAAAACTATTTTATTTCAGTTACTAAAACTTAAAATTTTCAGTTATTTTTTTATTTATTTTCATTATTATTATTTTTATTTTTTGTACTTTTCTGTGATGAACAAAAACTATCAATGTTGTTAAAACAGGATCGGATCGGACTGGTTTGTCGGACCATCAGACCGTGAACTGTAGTACGGATGGGATAATTGGATTTTGAAAAACCGAAATTGGAGTGTGTATTTAAGAGGGAGAGGATGCCAAATGGACGGAGCTCGGTGGTGGCTCGATCGTCACTATTGGTGATCCCTGCGGTCTAGACGACATCGTGAGGCTCCCTCACACTCGCACCACCTCCAATCACCGTTCCCGGATAGCATGCACAGCTAGGTTGAGGTATTTTCATTAAGTTTTTTTTTAGGCTGCATTGTCTTCTTTTTTATGAATGATTTGTGGAAGAAAAGAATATAAACATTGCTTTATATATTTATTTAAAACTACAATTTATGTTTGGGGTGATCATTGTTATTTTCTGCCTAAAACTAATATTTTCTTTAGTAGAATATGATTAATTTACATAGAAAAAGTTGTGTGATTAAAATGGAGCAGTGCTTTAGAGGAATGTGGTGTTTTTTTTTTATCGTCCTCATTGAATAGTGATATTTGATATTATCAAAGGAATGTAGAGAAGAGATTAGGTTTTGGCTTTCAAGTTTTACTAGATTTTTAATTAATCTAAATTTTGTCTTATCTATGTTTTGCTTTTAGATTGTCAAATCTTGAAAGAAGGAAATACGAAATACAAAATTTCAAAGAAACAAATATATTTTTTTGGCTACAAATATGAGGCTATGTTGAGAAATTAGGGCAAAGTAAACGCAAGAATCGACACAAATCAATAAGAAAACACAAAGATTTAATGAGGTTCGACAATTTGCCCACGTTCTCGGGAGCAGAGCGGCGGCTTTTCTTTCAATTCGGAAAAATAGTACAAGATCAATTAGGGTTATAATACATCAATATATATATAGCCCTGACGTAAAATATGTAATTACAAAATTATCTCATACGAAGATTTCTCATAATTCGTTTGGATTTATGCCTGGAAGGTCTATTATGGAAGCTATACAGTAAGAAGAGAGTAAGGATGATCTAAATTTTTTTTCTCTCAGAAAAAACTTACGATAAGGCTCCAGAGAAGTCCTTTGGAGAGTTATAGAGAAGAAATGTGTTGATATGACTTATATTCAAGTCATTAAAGATATATATGCTAGAGTTGTTACTTGTGTTCGAACAGAAGGAGGATTGACTAAGTATTCAGTTGGATTACACCAGGGATCGGCTTTAAGCCCATATTTTTTTGTTTTAGTTATGGATGCCTTATTGGGCATGTACGGGAGGATGGACCTTGTCGTATGTTTTTCGCTGATGATATCTTTTATGTAAATAAGACTTGGGAAAGTGTTCAAAAAAAAAACTTGAATTATGGTGGTCTATATTTCAGTCGAAAGGCCTTCATTTGAGTAGATTTAAAATTGAATAGATAGAATGTATTTTTAGTAATAGTAGTAGCTCTAGTATGTTTAGAAAAAAACTTAAATTATGGTGGCCTATATTTGAGTCAAATGGCCTTCATTTGAGTAGAGTTAAAATTGAATACATAGAATGTATTTTTAGTAATAGTAGTAGCTCTAG